CACAAAAAAATCGATGTTTATCTGTTTTTTTATATTTACTTTTAAAGTAACAAATTTAATAATGTACAGTTCTAAAATTTGAATTATAATCTATAGTTTGATACCAAACTTATTGACATAAATTCATGAAATAGTAGTTCAATAAAATCTTGAATGCGAGACAACAAACGCGATGGCATGGCCTTTCACGTGTGACCCATCTCGAAAGGGTTAACTGATCCTCATTTTTCTTGCCATTGGTATTCGAGAAGAGTTAACCCTAACTTTTTATAGTGCTAATAGTAATGCTTTTAATAATTTTTATTTAATTAAATAATTTACCAAAGAATATAAACTAATAACATGCAAAAAGTAGACAAATTTCCTTACCTCTCAGAATTTTTCTAGCTTTCTAACTATGCGACAAGAGCCGTTACAAATTCATCCAAGTTAGTTGTTAACTTTCTCATGGAAACAAAGCCTGTCCTGTGAGTGAAATTGATGCTTTCCTGTTCAGGAGACAATGTTATACAATACGTCGCTTGATAGATAAAAGCCTTGACTTTCTATTGGTTATAATTAATATAAAATGAAATGTAAGAGAGAGCTATCAACGAACTGTGAAAGAGAGGATGTGATAGGGAGTGTGGCAGGAGGGGTCTGATTTTCTATTTGATAACTCTGTAACCAAACAAAATTGAAGACTATAAAACTTATGGTTTGTCTGAGCAATAAAGATTTTAGAGAGAGTATTTTACGTTTGATTTTGTACATTTTTGAGGGGTGATGGATAAAATAGGAATGATGACATGCTAAGACGAAATGTGTCATGTGGATCACACTAGTGGAAATTCAGGATTTTTTAAATATTCCCTTGTAGAACTAAGAACTTAAAACTTATATACGATTAAAATATGGATTATTAGCTAAGATTTTATGCTATTCTAATTAGTATAACATAAACAAAAAAGTAGTATAATATAATTTTGAATGTAAGACACTAAAACCTTGTGTCGTGTGCAGTAAAGGATACCCAGCGTGATAGGGTTAATGGATAAATGTTATATTTATAAAAAAAATTGTAAATTTGGGCTAATACATATTGGTAAACATGTAGAAATTTAGAATTTAGATTGAACATATGTTAACTATAGAAGAACAAACTCAATGAATGAGCATTACCTGAACATATGGCAAACAATCCACTTATTCACGGTGTTAATTGAAAAAATATTAAGTTGACCAAATATTTGAATAATAGATATTAACTAAATTTAAAAGAATATATAAGAAATACTTGATAGTACTATGTTAACTATAAATAGATACTCTGGTCCAGGGATTGCAGAATTTTATTTCATGAAATCTGTTTCAAGAGCAAAAAGATAAATAGGTGGCAGCACTTTGTACACTAACTGTTGGATAGATAAAGTTTGTATCTTGTAGAATATGGAAATATATATAATCATCAGAACAGTGTTTCATTGTTGTCTTCTTCCGGATGATGGTATGTTTGTGATTCATTGAAATATGTATGGAAGAATTTAGTTAAAGCCTAGTAACTTCATTATAGTTTTTATATTGTGTAACATATAATGTTGTGTCATCTATTTTTTATGATTATTATACACAAGGCCATTTCCAACTTGATATTAATTATGTTCAACTAATTGATTATTTTCACTTGAGACTTGAATAGTTGAAATAATCAAATAATCTCTATATGGAAATATATATAATCATCAGAACAGTGTTTCATTGTTGTCTTCTTCCTGATGATGGTAGGTTTGTGATTCACTGAAACATGTATAGAAGAATTTAGTTAAAGCCTAGTAACTTCAGTATAGTTTTTATATTATGTAACATATAATGTTGTGTCATCTATTTTTTATGATTATTATACACAAGGCCATTTCCAACTTGATATTAATTATGTTCAACTAATTGATTATTTTTACTTGAGACTTGGATAGTTGAAATAATCAAATAATCTCTCATCCCTGTGTTTAAATCCCTGGTCAACCTACCTTGGACTTTCTGGTGGTTCTGAATCTATCTTTCACCCATGTATGTAAATCCCTGGTCAACCTACCTTGGACTTTATCTGGTGGTTCTGAATCCATCTTTCACCCATGTATGTAAATCCCTGGTCAACCTACCTTGGACTTTATCTGGTGGTTCTGAATCCATCTTTCACCCATGTATGTAAATCATTGGTCAACCTACCGTGGACTTTATCTGGTGGTTTTGAATCCATCTTTCTCCCATGAATGTAAATCCTTGTTCAACCTACCTCATACTTTATCTAACAATTAGTTTAAATATAATATTACAAATTTCTACTAACTTTTAATTACTTTGAAAGTTGTAGTTAGTGTATAGGACAATGTCTGTAATGAAATTCTATTTAGGTTACTTTATGTGACTTTATACTCTGACTGAAACCCTACTCAATTAGTACATACATGCAAGCTCAACAATGTTCTCGCTTTTCCAAAATTCAGGACTTTTTCATTTGGTATTTAAAGAAATAAGCTTGAGTCATCTTTAAAAAAGAATCACTACATTTTCAAACAACATTTGTTATTAGTAGGGATGCACGGGTATTAACATTTTGCCAAATATCATGTCTGGGCACCCGGCAACTAAGCTTTGGGCAGGGCCAGGTGTTAACCACGACCAAGTTCTCCCCTTGTCCCCCCCCCCAAAAAAAAACAACAACATACACAAAAATTAGAAACAAAAACGATATTGACATTTAACTGATTGGAATTAGTAATCAACAACACACTGCCCAAGTGTTTGTGTTTTATTCCTCTTGACCATTGAAATTTTAGCAGTGGCATCTTTGTCATCACATTTTCTCTTCTTGTTCGCATTTCATGCTCTGCATGGTTGCGAATTTGTCTTTATGAAGTGAGATGATTTCTCAGCAATTTGGTTCCAAACACCTTGGGTGCACCTTGCGAAACAATCTGCCTTGTTTTCCAACATAAAATATCTCCAGACCAAGCTGGTCATGTTTACCCTTGGAATGAAAAATTACTAAAACAGCGAGAAGTGGTGATGAACTGAGTTGAAATGCCTGGGGGGAAACAGCAATATGTAGGGTGGAAACTAACAAAACAGCAAGAAGTGGTGATGAACTGAGTTGAAATTCCTTGGGGAAACAGCAATATGTAGGGTGGAAACTAACAAAACTGAGAGAAGTGGTGATGAACTGAGTTGAAATGCCTGGGGGAAACAACAATATGGTAGGGTGGAAACTAACAAAACTGACAACTTTGAAATTTAATTTTTATTGAAATAGAAAGATTGAAAATTACTTACCAACTCCATGTGATTTCTTAGGCCAGTGAAAGTAAATGCAGAAACAGTAATGTTGACACGTTTTAGGATCATTATGCCAACTAATGCTTAGCTCCAACTTCTCAAACCTTAACTCCTATTGTTCTTAAAACCCCCACCTTCCCCAGAAATCCACGTCTCAAGCCCTTCTTGTTATTAACCCCTATTGTTCTCTAAATTCCTGACTTTCAGCGGGCGGTCAGTCTTTGTTGCTCGGAAATACGTTTTTTTTAACTAAACCAATTATTGACTTAACTTTCAGTACTGCGTAAGTTGCCACAAAGATTAGGGCTTAGATGCCATTTTCAATTACCCGGATTCGGCTGTTTTTTTACTTCAACATTTGGCCAGTCTTACTGGGTAGCCCAATACCCAGCCGGGCCAGGTACCCGTGCATCCTTACTTATTAGTATCATTTCATGCATACAGTTAAATACACCGAAAGAAATAATATAGATTAGCAACCATAAAATAGGTATGTTCATCTTTAAGGGCTTATTCTGTGTTTATACTGTTCATGTTTGAGCTTTATGAAAAAAAGAATTAAGTATAAATTTAGTAGCAAACAGTGGTAAGAAAATGTAAGATTTTTAAATTATCCTTCAAAGTATGACCACAAACAACAAAGATAGTTAATAGATAGGTATGAGACAGCCCCCTGAAGTTGTTTTCCATGTATACCATCTTGTACATATATATATATATATATATATATTACTTTGCAGGCTTTCAGTGGAAAAGGAAACAGGTTGGATGGGAAAAAAAGGAACAGACCCACTAATTTCCTCAACCAATAGGCTTCTTCAGAAAAGGTATATCTTATCTCTGTACTACAACTGCAATTTTTTAAAATTAAAAGTTGTTAGTAGTATTATTGATGAACAATGAAATGAAAGCCATTTGAAACAGGAAAGGAGTGAACAAATCTATCTGCTAATGTTGTTAAGATTTCTGTCAGAAGACAAAAAATATTTTAGTTTCAAATTTTTTTATTTTTTGAGAGTTGAAATACACTTTTTCTTCATAATAATTGTTGTTTCACTATGGTAAATATTACATAAAAATCCTTGAAAATATTAGAAAAACATGTGTATAAATGTTTTAAACTTTATTACACCATTTTGAATGTAGCACCTATACGAGCCTGACCTTGCTTTACTTGAAAGTTTACACTTGGTAACAACAGTTTTCAAATAAATACTTGGATTTTAATGGATAAGATTAACCTTAAGACTACCCATGGGGTATATTTCATTTTTAAACATTTTCCCAACTATTTATATACAAAATTTCTTGACTTTGTTGGCTACAGGAATCCTAATAAAAGATGAGCCACATTAAAAAATAATATTGATATTATAATTAATAAACTAATTACTGATGAGGCCCTCTATGTGTTTTTTTTTTCACATAGAAAATAAGTTATTTCACCAACATTTTTGGACAGTTTTTACTCAGAGCTTTGTAATGGGCAGACACAAAATTACTCAGTGTGATGTGATATGTAGTTGTGAATGATTATGATTTGAGAGTTACAAAATATGTAAACTGACACTGAAACAGGTGTCTTTTGTATATTTTTAAAAAGAAATTATAGCTTTTAATTTAATTTTTGAGCCTAATTTCAGTTAGCATGTTTTGCTGAAAAGTGTTTATACATTAAAAAATCTTAAATTGCAAGTTAGTTTACACTGTTGCAGTATTAAAAGATTAAAAGACCATATATATTTTTAAAATTTACTCCAATAACAATATACATCAAGTTAAAACTTAATTTATATATATATATTATGATTTATCTTGGTGTGTATATAATTTCTCAAAATCTTGTTTCCTAGGATGTGGTATTTTTCTTATTTACTGTTTCCTTGAAATATGATAAGTAAATGGTTTATTTCCCTATTAATAGATAATTTTGTTTAGAGAACAGTATGAATCATTCTCAAAATTCGATGTTGGTAAAAACACTTTTTCAATAAACTAACTGATGTGTAATTTAAGAATTGTTAGTTCAGAATTCTTCATTACAGCTGTATTTTTATGGTAAAAGACAGTATATGCCCTACTCTCATTGTGGTTGTCTAGTATTAGACCACGGATTTCTGTAGCTACTAATATTATTCTGTTTTACATCACAGATTTCTGTAGCTACTAATATTATTCTGTTTTACATCACAGATTTCTGTAGCTACTAATATCATTCTGTTTTACATACATCACAGATTTCTGTAGATACTAATATCATTCTGTTTTACATCACAGATTTCTGTAGCTACTAATATCATTCTGTTTTACATCACAGATTTTTGTAGCTACTAATATTATTTTGTTTTACATCACAGATTTCTGTAGCTACTACTACCATTTTGTTTTACATCACAGATTTCTGTAGACACTAATATCATTTTGTTTTACATCGTAGATTTCTGTAGCTACTAATATCGTTTTGTTTTACATACATCACAGATTTCTGTAGCTACTAATATCATTCTGTTTTACATCATACACTTCTGAAGACACTAATATCATTATGTTTTACATCACATATTTGTGAAGCCGTTAATATTATTAG